TCTTCCTTTAAAAAAGTGCCTCATTCCCCACAAAATGAAACAGTGGTTTAGGGATGTGTGTAATCTTATTTGCCAGTCAGGTTTGACTTACTTGTTGCTTATGTCAAACATATTTTTAAACACATCAAGACACCACACTTTGACAGTGACTCTGGCACACTTTATGCTTGTTCAGTTGAACAATGGACAGATCTTCAATCTAGTTGCATGTAAAAAGATCTCAATTTGTGCAAGATTTATTAGTTTTCTCTTTATTTAGCAAAATAGAGTAAAACAAGTCAATTTGTGAGTTATTTGTAGTCTGCAGCCGGCTTAGTATGGACTGAGTTGTCTTTTCCTGTTAGTAGCTCTCAGATTTAAGAGTCAATAAAGGTAGTTTAACGTCATTTCGCCCCCTTTGCCACTTCGCCACGGGGTCTCATGAACAAATTAATAAAACTTGCGAATCCTTTCATCATTTGCGATTGCAAACATGGTCGATTGTTCAAACTACCTCTTCGTATGGTACAAACCGTCTAAATGCCGTCTTAGAGTCGTTTCAAGACAAATTTATTTACCAGGGACGAAATGACATTGGGGCGGTTTGACCTCTTAAAATTTACGTTGTATGACAATCGAGACTTGATCGTGTACTAAGCTTTGATAGTGTGACAATCAAGACTAGTGTCTACTTTCGATTGCCAACAAACATGGCAAATTAAAGGCTAAATTAAATTGCTAAATTAATAGCAAATTAAAGGCTATTCTTTATAATTTTTTGTGTTGATTCTTGAGGGGGTACTTTAAAGTGTGTCTCTATTGCTTCAGTATGAGATGCCAGTGCATTGGGAGGTGTTATCAAGACTAAATGAGAGGAAGTTCTCACCACTCTATTAGCACTACTTACAGTCCAACCCGCTGCAGATATGTGATGTCAAAACCAACGGCAGTCAAACCTTGTTATCCTATGCTGTTGTTTCTCCATGCAATGAAATATTCACCAAACTTGTAGTCTGAAAGACAACATTCCTCAAAACGAGATCAAATAGCTATCTCGAGCCACAATGAAGATATTGCAGAATGAATAGAACAATGGCTGATATCTGTACTAAAGACCTATCTGTCCAGTGCTCTGCACAAGCGGAGAGAACACCTCACAATCACAACAACAACATCAAAAAAACATGACTAAAAACAAATCCCAACTGAAAGTAAAATGCATT